AGTAGACATGTTACAGTTTGTATTTTTAGATTTCACAGTGTTAATAAGTTTTAAATTTTTACAGACATTTTTGCTATTACTTATTGCTACACTAATTTTTCGTATGATATCGGACAATTTTAGTTTGGCACCTTGCTCAGAATTGATATTTACATATAACATTCTACCTTCTGTATAATTGTCCAACTTATCCAGAAAATGGTCTAATTTCAAATTAAATTTCTTGATTAGGTTTTTGTCACTGTGTCTTCTTAAAATTGTAACAGACACCATTATAAAGTTAGTGTGGGTACATAGTTTCAGTTTCGAACAAATATTTTTGAATTTAGGGACCCTGGACACAGTTTATTGCTAAAGAATCAGTTCGCTCACTCTGCGTCGGCACTTTTGATCTCAACTTTCCAGTTTATACACTGCGCAACTCGGATTTGTATCCCTGGCGCATAGAATCAAATCATCACCAATAAAATATATGACAACCGCCTTTATTCAAACAGAAGTCTTCTACGCATCTTGAATTTGTATCCCTGGAGTGGATGTTATTTTGGAACATCCAACTGGTCCGAGTGGGCTAACTGATTCTTTAGCAATAAACTGTGCCCTGGACATGTCAAAATCATTAGGACCTGCTACCACAATCACAAAATCAGATAATGAAAATATTTAAGTTAATAACAGCCTAATATTAATATGTTTTTCGAAGAAGTACCTTGCACTTCCCGTTTATTTAATACATTTTTTGAAAGGCTTTTTCCTGGCTCTAAGTCAAACACACTTGTGGTCATTTGGTTTTTTCGATAACAGCAGCGCGATTCTGATTAGTTATTACGTTACGTCCCGTTTCACTACCTCCCGTTCGGCTGGCATGTCGGTACCCATTACGGTACCGAGTAAAATTTGATTCTAATCACCTCTCGAGTATCCTCTACGAAAACTATTGATGACGGACGGTTTGTCTTGACAGTTTGATTGTCCGTCTCATGTCACTGGTTTGACTTTTGACTCCATATTCCATAAATACTTTTGATACACAATTATTATTTTTTAATATTACTAATAATAATAATTATTGTTACTATAATAGTAATTATGTTGCCAATTTTCCATGAAATTTGGAGAGAAGGAAATAGAAGAGAGATGAATCAAGTCTTTCGAAGTATAGGAGAAGATTTAAGAGAAGATTTTAATTTAGAAAATATACCAGATGCACGGTTTATTGAGCTTTTTAGAATTAAGTAATTTTTGAACTTTTATACGATCAACTAGTCCCTCACTTGAGAGAGCCTAGATATCGGACGGGAGTTTCAATCAAGCAGAGGATACTTGTAGCTCTTAGATTTTATGCCACTGGTTGTTATCAACGAGGTGTTGGAGAAGATTTCAATTTGGGCATAAGTCAGACGTGTGTACACAGGTAATATATTTTATAAATATATTTTACTAACTTGATCAATATTTAAATATATACAGAGTATTATTACATACATTCAATTTTAAATTTATTCATGATGTTGCTATCAATGACAATCTAACTGCTGAACATATACAATTTCCAACAACAATAGTTGAACAAAATGAAATTAAACAACAGTTCATGGACAAGTTTAATTTTCCTTCAGTTGTTGGAGCTGTAGATGGCACCCACGTTGCAATTTTAAAACCGCATATAGATGAACACAATTTTCTTAATAGGAAACACTTTCATTCTATTAATGTACAAATTATATGTGATGCAGATTTAAAGATACGTGTAATTAATGCGAATTATGGTGGTGCTACTCATGATGCTTTTATATGGAGATTTTCTGCTGTAAAGAAGTATCTTCATAATGAGTATTTAATAGAAATGCGACATACTTGTTTGATAGGAGATTCTGGTTATCCTCTAGAGCCATACTTAATGGTTCAATTTTTGAGTCCCCCTGATGACTCACCTGAAAGCCGTTACAATTTTGCACATATCCGTGTCCGTAACTGCGTTGAGAGATGTATAGGGGTTTTGAAAACTCGTTTTCGTTGCTTGTTAAGGGAAAGAACTTGTAGGTACTCTCCAGAATTTGTAGGTAAACTAGTAAATGTCTGTGCAGTTCTACATAATTTATGTGTAAATTTTAATGTTGGTGAAGATGAGAGCATTATTTACCAGAAATTGCACCAAATATGATTGTACATGATAATAATAATAATCTGCACAATTTGGGTGAAATAACAAGAAATAATGTTGTAAATAGATACTTTAATGCTTTGTGAATGTATATTTTAAACTGTGTAAATAGTCTTATGTAATTTTTTCTTTAAATATATGTAAAATTTGCAATTTTTTTCAAGTTTATGAATTTTCTATTTTTGTTATTGTGTAACGCAAAAAATAGATTTCTTAAATAAATTACTGTATGCTGTTATTTGTTTATCTTCTGTAATATTAGAAAAAACACTTTTTTAGATTTTACTCTTTATAATGTGGTAAAAATAAAACAATTTCTACAAAAAATAAAAATATAATTAGTAAATCAAAAATAAAAACAATTTGAATAAATAAAATATAATTAGTGATTAGAAATCTAAAACTAAAAAAAAAAGAAACAAAACTTCTTAATCCATGTTGCCTTGGTTCTTGATAGCATTCACAATCTCTCCAAGTCTATCATCAATAGTTTTATTCAATTTACTAAAATTTTCGTTAATTGTCTTTTCAATGCTCTTAATAGCTTTAATCGATTCTTCATACATTCCACTAAAATTGGGGTTGTTTGGATTATCCGATATTTTTCTTTTATAACCTTGCAACCGGTTTTTCCGATTGGATGGAAGGTAACTGTGCTCCATTTCAATTGTATTTGCACTCATTTCAATTTTTCTTGGAGTTTCTGACTTCACTATCAAGGAAGATGAGGAGCATGGTGTTTGGGAAAGTTCCAACTAAAATGAAAAATCAAATTATATTATACAAATAAAATCTTTAAAAAATATTTATTACATAATAGGAAAAGATATAGGTAATAATAATGGTTTGTTAGGTAATAAATATTTATTTGGGATTAAAACATTCTGAATAAATTACTGGAAAATTTAAATAAACTTTTATTGCATTCTAGGTAGGAACTTTATCTCTGGAAATACCCATACCCTTAATCATTTACTATTTAAATACATAATCCCAAATGTTAAATTTGTATATTATTTTGGAAAAACCCTACTTAATAAGCATAGTAATAAGTACATTTTCTTAAAAAATTGTAATGTTTTCTGAAATTTGGTAAAATATATACAAAGTGCATATATGAATTTTGCATATATTCTGCCCTCTATACTAAACTAAATACTCACTCCTTTCTCAGCTACTCCACATCCTTTATAGAATGTACTCCCCAGAATTTCTAGTAATCCCTCTTCGATATCTGACAACTTTTTTTCAATTTGGGGGCCACCTCCAGTACCAGCTTGGTGCCTTTGTATTTCAGCTGCTTTCTTTTTCAAATTGCCCTTGTAATCAGACCAAGTCTAAAACAAAATAATTAATGGGTAGGTATTTCGTATTTCTCATTTTCTCAAAAATAGGTGAATTTTATAAAATTTTCAAATAACACTCACTTTTTGCCATTTTTCCGTCGTTTTCAATCCGTATCCCAGCGAATTTAATTTTGTGGAAAGCTCTGTCCACAGTCTTCTAAATTCTTGTTTCGCATTGGAAACGGAGAGTCTGCCACTTGCAAAATGTTCATGTTCCCTCATAAAATTTAAAATTGTTGTTAAATGTTCTTGATTTATTTTAAAACTCATGTTGACAAAATCAAACAAATATCAAATCACACAAATGTCAAATATCAAGTCGCACAAATATCAACCTCACAGCTTCTTAACCACACTTTTTCTAATTTCACTACCGCTCTACGTCCCGAGTGATGCTGACAGATATGCTCGAGAGGTCTTGAACGAAAGTTGGGATTAGAATCGCTCAAATTGTAAACTCGTTACGTCACGTCCCGAAAACGTCAATCAAAATCGGGTAGCAGATTTATCAACTCGTTTTCGTAGATTTCTTTATCCTTTTCTAGGGTTTCAATTGAAATTAACAATCTCTTTTGGAGTCCGTTAGTTCCTCTTTAGTTTTCTCCATTACAAGCAAATGTTCCTGACTCAGTTCCAGTTCTGCTCTAATATCTATATTTTTTTCTGTTAAAATTTTAATTTCATTCTTTAGATTAGTTATTAGCATCTGTTGCTCGTCCCTATCTGAAGCAATTTTTCAGTCAATTTCAAAAAAGTTAATCTCCAAATTTTCATAAGATTTTTTTAAGTTGCCTATTTCTATATCTTTATTTCCTAACAGTTCATTTAGCTCTTTCAATATTTCTTCAGGATCAATTTCAACTCCGACACAGCTATCATCTTTTTCAGCACACTCAATAGAACAGATCACCCTATACCCCTTCAAAATTTTAACATTTTTCATCCTTTCGGGATAACTCGGATGAAAAATATTTATACATCTGATACATATATAATTTCCAAATATTTTGTTCTGACAGCACTTAAAAGATTTGCCCATTTTCTATATTTATCCATCCAGCTGAGTAAAACGACGTTAGAATGGAACAGTATCCACTTTCATTTAGATTTAAAATTGTTATCACAAAAAAAATTTGTCATTGCTTAATCGTAAAATAACAAAAAAAAGCGATAAAAAAACTTGGTTTAATTACTTTTATGAATTGAAATGCAGTTTCACTTATTAACGAAGAAATTTTACACTGGGTATCACTCACAATGGTCAGATAATAAATTGAGTTTTAATTTGATATGAAAAACAACTTAAAAGTCCGTGGTTTCCCGTCTGACAACCAGAATTTTGTAGGAGCGAAATAAATTCAACCTATACGAAGGTTAATTCATTTCATTATCATGGTGACAAAATCTCGAAAACGCAAAAAAGTGAGTTATCATGTTTTGCCAAATAGCCACAGAAATATATGAACATGTACAATAACCTACATTTTTAGCTTTATTATTTAATTCCTAGTACCTCTGGTGTCTCATCCAAAATTGAAATTATTAATGAAGATGATGATATTTGTAATATGATGCCAAAAAGAAAGAAAAGTGTTGCAGTCGATAATTTTTATTTAGTTCCCGCTGAAAAAAGTAAACCCCTTACAAAAAAAATGAAGAGTTGTGATACATGTCAAAATAATGACAATCTGTATAAGGAAACAATTGAATGTTTGAAGAATATCGAGACCAACATTTCAACAAATTTAAAGGAAATTAATAACACAATAAGTTCAAAATTTGATGAACTTATTAATGCAGTTTTAAAAAGCAAGGGTCGTCTTGAATCGGAGGAAAGTCCATGATTTTGTTTCCTGTCCACATTATTGTTTTTGTTAAACACAAGACGACTTAAGGTGTTTCAGTTCCTTCAATAATAACTCACGTTTTTATTTATAAGATTACTGTATGGAAGTTCAATATCTCAGTTGTTTTTGAAAATCGCAGAAAATGTCAAAAACAAAAGTTTTACAGTTCACAGAGGCGCCTATTGTAAAAATATTTTTAATATACAGGGTACCCCCAAAAATAAGACAACATAACGTTAATTTTTTTCAAACAGACAACCTGTATTTTATTTTTATTTTCAATTTTAGTAAAAAATTAAGTAAATCTAAATTCAATTGAAGCCTTTGACATTCGAAAATTGACTTTTTCACACTTTGACAAGCTGTAGCACCCACACGGTTGAAATTAAAGTAAAACGGTTTACATGTCCTTGCCTTAGTTTTTTGTACCTTGTGTTTCATTAAGAGAGGTAGCAGCTATATTTTAGAAATAATAGTACAGCTTCGGCGGGAAAATATTTTTAATAGAAACGGTCAAGTTTGTAGATTGGCCGCTAGGAAGCGTAATTGTGGCGTCAAAACATAAAAATAAATTTTCTCAAAAAAATACTTTAATCTTCATTGTTTTCCGATCAGGTGTAATTTTTGTCAGTTGTGAAATAGAGTGGTGGGGGAAGGTTAAACTTTAATTTGGAAAAATGTTCATAACTTCGGTTTGGTTTTACTGAATTTAGGGAACTTGGTTTTTTTTTTTTTAGAAGAAATTTTCCAGCCTCATTTTTAGCAGTTTAAACTGTGGCTGCTTAGGTTTTACGAACGCCGCTAGAGGGAGTTAAGTTAAAAACTAACATTTTGCGAACATAAAAACTGACATTTTGCGAATACTAAATTAAATAAAATTTAAAATAAATGCCTTTATACGAGGAAAATCAAAACAACACCTAAGAGTAAAGTGCCCTTATATATGTTACCGGCAAAGCCCGTTACGCAGTCATACCTAGGTTTGTCTAGGCAAAGTCCGCATTGCCGGGCCACTTTAGGCAAAGTCGGAAATTAGTTGATATTTCCGACATTGCCTGCACTATTGTAAGACAATCTTAGGTTTACCAAATATGTAGCAGGCAAACTCCGAAATAACCTACCGCATTACTATCCTACCTACTGTCAATATTATACCTATGTACGAGTAAGAAGCACAGTTTGCGATAGAAAAAAAAACAAATTAATTTGTATTAATAATTTATTGTCTTTTAAAGAACAATCACAAATAAAATAAACTTTCATACTAAAAAAAAACAACTGAAAGCATATTGAGGTATAATCAGAGTGGACCCTTATAAAATACACTTGGTATTGTTTATTATGACACTTATTAAAGAAATAGGCATTCGCAAAAAAAAACACATTCAAAAAACCAACTAAAAAGATATTGAGGTAGAATCAAAGAGGTCTCTTTGGGCAAAGTTTCTTTGGGTAGAATTAGGGCTCCTGCATGATACACTTTTTGGTACAGTTACATCTTTGAAACCCTTGCCCTCCAAATGAACTGTACCCACTTATTTCGCGAAGTGATAGTTCTATGTTCGGGACGTCTTCGATTTTAAAAAATTGTTCCTTGCAACTTTGGATTTGGTTTCTTGCATATAGAAAACTGATTACACCATGTTTAGTACCGATTTTATAAAAACCATCTGCAATTTTTTCCATTACAACTCATAGGGCATCTCCATTGCCTCTGTCTAAACTCGAAACTGGCACTGTGACTGATTCCCCTACCTGAATTTCCGGAAACTTTTTCTGCGATAGCTGCTTCATTTTCTCTGCTTGAACTCTCAATCCTTCGTAGGCAACTTCTTTGTTTATAGTTGCAGAAATTGTCTGGGCACAGCGGAGGCATAGAATTGATGCTTCAAAACCCTCCTCGGGATGCTTTTTCTTCTTGTGACAGGCTTCACATAACCCTAAGTAAAGTGTAATGCATTCTCGAGTTACGTTAGCATATTTGTTGCTTAGTGCTTTAATCATAATATCTCTTCCAGCATGACCACATTGCTTGTGAGCATTATCTAGCACCTCAAACAATTCTTCATTGGGGACAAAGTATTTCACTTCAGTGACTTGCGCAGACAATGGCAAAATTAACTTTTTAATGCCCCCAACAAGTAACACATCGTAACGTTTGAGACGCCGATATTGAAGAGTTGTTTTTTTGGCAACCTGCTTGGCTTCTTCAACTTCTTTAATTAATGCCTCGTACTTTTCTATCGATGGAATGTAAAAAGAATTTATTGGTTTCTGCATACTCTCTAATTTCTTCAAAAATTTCGCCATTATTTCACCCGCGCCACTCATATCTACTTGCATATGTCTTGTTGGTCACAAATCCAATAAAGATTAAACCCAACTGAACACAACGGCCACTTAACCGAACTAAACACAAAAGTCCATGCAGAATAAGAATTCAGTGGAATCGGAATATTAACTTATTTCGTAGTTTGCCTGCTACACATCTAGCAAACCTAAGATTGTCGTACCACAGTGTAGGCAATGTCCGAAATATCGAATAATTTCGGACTTTGCCTAAAGTGGCCCGACAATGGGGGCTTTGCCTAGGCAAACCTAGGTATGACTTCATAACGGACTTTTCCGGTAACATATACACTTTGCTAAGTGAATACTCATATAAAGTCACAAAATACTCATTTAAAACGCGTATGAAAAGATTTGTGAAAAAATTGTTTAAGGATGTAATTTTTTTATGTAAGTGTCCTGAGTTTTTTCTGTAAATAAAGTGTGAATTCGACAAAATGGGCATTGGTTAGTTATGCATTCGATATGTGCCCAGCAAACACAAACATAACAAAGTAACTTACATGTTACATAATAACTCACATGATTACTGTAAATATTACCTAAGTACATGTAAGGAACAATGTTATATATCAGAAGACATGTAACATTTATAATACTATTGTAACATTTAATATGCTTCATTATTACCGCACATATGTATACATTACTTTTTTTAAGTCTTAAAAATATTACTTATGCATAATTACGATGTTCTTATGAGAAATGATTACAGAAATGTTTCTTTCTTAGATAACAATTATACATTCTTAGCATATTCTTAGTATATAGTTTTTAAGAATATGCATATACCTACTGAGAATATACTTTATTTGCATTTAGTACATTCTCAGAATGTACTAAGTATGTGTTACGGGACCTTGTTTATACACGTGCTATGCAGATATTGAAAATGTACTTCAAGTATGTGTACAGTATGTAATATTTCATATATTTCATTTGATAGTACCTTCTAAGTATATGCTAAGTATTTAAATTTAGCATATACTAGGCATATCGCTGCCCCAATTCAAAAAATATCTCCAAATCAGCCATTTTGAGATAAATTACTTTAAAAAATTTTCTTTACTAATTTGTAAGATTTTTCTTTACTAATTTGTAAGATTTTTTTTACTAATTTGTAAGATTTGTAATTTATTATTAAAATAAATAGAAAAATAAATATTTTAAGATATTATAGTGTTTAATTATTTTAATAGACCTTGCCCTTCTTGCTAAGAATACATTCTTATCTCAAACCCTAAAATTTTTGAGATGTTACAATTTTGAACTGGGACAGCGATATACTGGACACCCTAATACAGGATGTTTCATTAATATTGAACATTAAAGAATAAGTGTATATAATGAAAATCGAAAATATTTTTTAAATCTTTATTTACAAAAATTAATACTTATTCTTATTACAAATTCTTTATTTGGCCTCAACCAACCAAAAGTTTATTGTATCGATGGCTTGCGTTACTTTGCTTGCTTACATTGGATCGTTATTGAACCTAAAAAAAAAAAAACAAACTTTGTACATATGCAAATTAAGTGTACATAACTAATTGAATATTTTATATATTTTTGTCGAACGTAAAACATTAAAAATTGTACGGCATTCCACCAATAAAAACAAGAGTTGCATACATAATTATTATGTTTAGTAAAAATTTAAATATATTTTTGTTAATTACTTACCACCATTTTGTATTTTTTGTCCTCCTTTTGCTAATTTTCTAGTTCTCCCATTTATAAACTTGCCGTTCGTTGAGGCACCAAAAATTTCGTTGTGGCTCCACATATTGGTGCCAAAACGTTATGAGGGCCAAACTCTACTAAATGATATTAAAATGTTACCTAGGGGTTGTATGCGAATTTTCGTATTGGTGCTTCAAAGTCAATGATCGTATACTTTTATAGAATTTAGTTCTCACTGTTTATAACTGGAGCGCGCTCCTTTTTATACGCCAACTTTGCATTTTAAACTTATTCAATTTTGAAGCACCACTCTAATTACCACGGTTAAACACCTACAAAGGCATTTACTTATTCGCTTTTGAGGCACCATATTACTACTACTGTTGAACAACCAACGTGACAACAACGCTTTCTCTAATATCGCATTTTTGTGTTATTGTTTTTTCGTGAAGTCTGTCCTAAGTGGCAAATATTTCCGGCGTAAAATAATAAACAAATCAAACGTGAATAGAAATCTGTTCGATATGTGATCACGGGATGATGAGTAATATTGTGATGACTTATAATAATCAATTCGCATGTAGAATTCTGGATTTTTTTCATAGAAAGTGTATGTTATTCTAAAAAACACTGTATTTTAGTTTCAATTCGCCATTAGTATTAACCATATTAATAAATTCACTCTGGAAATTAATATGTGGAATAACCTGTGTTCTAAAATCACTTGTAGATCCTAAAAACTAAAAATATATTAAAATTTGTTTATAAAATTATAAGAAAAGTGCGGTCAAAGTGATATGGAACTCTACTGCTAAGCAGTTACAAGAAATTTATTACGAAAAGTATAAAATTTAATCCGTTTTCTGATGTGGAATTTGCGATCGCCAGAGCTGCACGCGATGCTAAGCACAAAACATTACAGAGAGATCCATTAAAAAGAAAAGTGAGTGCTTGAACCTTAACCAGTGACGAATACAAAAAAATGATTGAAATGTGGGATGAAAATACTCCAGATGAATTACAGCGTAAATTTTTTCACATAGTTTCACATGAGTTGGCATGGAGAAAAGGAGAAGGATATTCTGCCTGTATCCAATACTTCAAAGAAGAAACTGATAATTTCTGAAACCCAAAAGGTCGGATAGAATATAATCCAATATTCTCTAAAACCACACAAGGTGGTTCTAAAAAACTGTCGGATACTAAATGGTGGATTACAATTTTCGACAATCCACAAATGTATCCGGTTCGTTTGTTTAAGAAGTTGATGGAAAAAAAGGGGAAATATTTTTCAGACCGACCTATTATTCTTAACACCAAACCCATATTGAAGTCAACCCAATTCGAAAGGATGGTACAAGAATAGTCCAGTTGGTAAGAACATTGTATCTTCATGATTTAAATCAGCAGCCTCTGATATAGGAATTGACACTAAAAAAGTTAAAATAACCATACATTCTGCAAGAGCAACAGCTGTTTCGAATTTGGCCAAGAAAGGAGTTGGTAAACAACAGCTCATTAAAATTACTGGACACAGTAATAGTCAGTCAATCAAACCTTACTTACAATTGGACGTTGAACATCATCATCAGATTATTGAATCCATGAGGAGAATTTCATCAAGTACTAGCAAGTTTAATCTTGAATAAAACAAAGTACCCAGATTCAAACCACCAATTCAAGCCAGCCCACAAACATTTATAATAATTGTGTTTTTAATATTAATAAGACCTATAATAATTAAATGTATTTCGTTATTTTGCTTATTAGTCGATATCATTAGAAATTTGTCAATGAAGATATTAGTTCAACATGAAATAAATTCTAAAAAAATCATATAGGTATATCCACCATATTCCGTTAAATAAAAAAAAATTACCAGCTTTAGTTAAACCAAATGCTAAAACTCAGACTAGCTGAGTCTATCGCCCTTTGGTAATTTTAGTTAACTAAAGGTGGTAGAAATATATTTTTTGTTAAAGTAATAACACTTCTAATGTAAAAAATATAATATTAACATGGTTTGTTGCAGTAGATGGCCGTGATAAATAGGCGGCCATGCATTTGACAGATGAGGTTTATATTGGTAAACTCTTAGAATATATATAGTCAGGAAGGAAGAATACTAAGCGACCTTGGAATCGCGATGGTATGTAATTTTGACAGTGGGTGCAATCTAAAGCTCCAATACAACGAGGGAATCTTGCAATATTGAACAAACCATGGAGCAAACTTTTAATTTCCTCCTGCGTTTGTGGCATTTTAATATATTCAGGACGTAGTGCAGCTATTGCTCTAGAAACCTTTTTAATAATTTTGCTTGCCTTACTCTTATGCACTTCACAGAAGTCACCGGTGGTAATTAAGAATGATCCCGTTGCAAAAAATCGTATAGTCAACAGAACCATGACTGCAGGGTAGCTATTCTTGAATTTGAGGGAATAGAAAACCGGTTTTGCCTCTTTATCTGCATCGCGAAAAAATTATATTTTTGTCTCATTCTTCCCTCAAAATTTCTACTCCCTGAAATTCAAGAATAAATACCCAGAAGTTAGTGCATTATTTCTAGAATAATAAAATAGGATCACAAAATGCTATAAAAATGTAATTTTCCTATTACCTGTTAGTCGGATTTGCAATTCGTCCTTCTATTTCTTTAATTATTCTGTTATCCTGTTCATCCCAATTTAAAAAATGATTAGATCTTACTCGAATCATGCGTATTCTCCGGGGTATATTAATGTGCCTTAAATAGGCTGCAATTTCCTCATCGTCTTCACTTATTACTTTTAAGTCATTCATGAGCACGATTTATTTTATAAAATATACAAAAACTATATTTATTGTTTAATGTACTCATGTGTCAATGTTAAAACGTTGAACTTACTTTAAACCTTAAAATATATATAGTCGGTAAACTACATTGCGTAAAGCCGGAGATACACATGCAAGCAAATTGTGCTGGTAGCATGCATGCCAGTAGCTTGCAGACTGAGGATACATTTGCAAGTAAAATTGCATGTCAGTAGCTTGTATGTGCCAGTAGCTTGAAGACGGATGATACATTTGCCAGTAGCTTACAAGCTTTCGGGATCGCGGAGATTTCGAATAGGTTAATACAACGTTTCACGCTAACCTGTCCCAGAATTTTAAAGTCGTTTCAGTTTTTAAATTTTCACAAATGGCCTTTCACATAGAAAAGGTTCGAAGCGAATTAAATAGTGTAATATTGTCACTTGCAATAGAATGTGTAGGTCAAATAATACAACCTAAACGGAGCAGAAAAAGGAGAACACGTATTTGGGTGAAAAATTGGATTAGCAGAAGGGAAACTTATGGAGCAAGTAGTTATAGAAACCATTTTAGAATGCTTCCTGAAAACTTTGATGACTTGTTGGCCAAAATTGAAGACCAAATTACAAAAAAAGATACCTTTTATTTTGTTTTATTTATTTTTTTTATCGTAATATTCATTTCTTATATGCATTTTCTCGTGCTATTTTATTTTTATACAGAGATGAATTCGAATTCCGCAAACATTCGTACTCACTATATAAACCAATAAATTTTATGGTCTTTTCATCTACCCACCGAGACATGATGATACGGTATCAACAAAACGAAAAAGAAATAATTTGACGGCGATCATAACTTGCATGCAACTATTGACATGCTAGTACCTGTCATCTGTGTTCACACATTCAATTTGGCATGCAGTTCGTACCCCCCACCATCTAAATTGCACATTGCATGCCTAAAAATCAAATCTTGTTCAATCTACTTGTATACAAACTACTTGTATGCAAGTTAACAGATACACATGCAAGTAGCTTGGACGTTCAAGTAGCTGGCATGCAAGTGTGCAAGCTACGGGCATGTGTATCTCCGGCTTATGTCATCCAAAATAAATATATTTAACGAATTTAATGGAAGATTGCGACCAGGAACCGTTAGAGTCGAATGGTTTGTTTACGAAAATCCAAGAAAGTCTGCTGAAGATGTCAAGTAAATTTAGTCTTTTGCCTAAAAGAGATTTTAACAAAATTGTTTCAAAATATTACATATATGTCTTAAAACATAAACATATAATTAATTCGTCACCTTCCTATTCACCATTAAGAAGAGAAGATGGGTTAGAATTCAAGCAACATTTAAATCTTACTATGTTTGTACATCCTACGTTTTTTGAAATATAAATTATTAATGCATAATAATTAAACAAATTTGTGTTTTCTGTTTAATGAAACTTTATAGCGAATAATAAATAATAATGTTAATTAATATAGAAGTTTTGCATTATTCACAGGTATATCTACATTCTTTAATGGTTGTAGATCATTTGTTTTCAATTTCATCTGTCAAAAAATTTCCACTTAAATATCGTGGCGCCTCGAAAAAATTTCCGAAAATTTTTTTAGTTGTCATGGTAACTAGTCAAAATTAAGGCATCTTATTAGTTTAAAAAGAAGAGATGTGAAATTTTCATTGAAATTTTCTATATAAATAATTACAGATGACCAGACAATTTTTTGCATATTCTTGCCTAGAAAAAAGTAATAATACGTGGAGGCATTGTATTACAATAGTGGAGGTAAGAAAATTATTTCAGGTAGCTCCCTACCCTAAATAAAAAAGTTTAGATACGATTTTCTAATGGACTAATGTCCAAAAATTAAACTAAAATAAAACATAATTACTTGTGTTATAACTGCGGTTTTCTGATTTTCGTCCAATTTTACAGTAACCAGAGGATATCCAGGTGTATATAAATAAGGTTCCATTAGATTTCCCAAATTTAATGAGTCCAGCAAGAAAGTAGGATTTGTATTGTTAAATTTGCTAAAATTAAAATGAGTTATCAAAAAATGCATAACTTTGCAAAACAATAGACAAAAATTACAATAGTAAACGTCATAAAATCAAATATTACATAAAAAATACACCTTCACACGCTAAAACAGAAAGATGAGGTTTCTGTTATTTAAAAAAAAATTATACTGTTTGTAATCGTCACCATGTTTTATTAAATTTTGCATATGTAGTGCTGTGCTAAACGATAGAAAATATAAACATGACCGAATAAACCAAGGAAATTTTTATTTATATAAAAAAATAACTGTTCGAAGAACAATGAGCGTAGCGCCTCGTTAATATCTCTTTTATTTATTATGCGATTTTAATCAAATTTGAAAAAACATGCTAGGCATGATTTCAAATTGGCACTTATACCTAAACAAAATGGCTGACTTCCGATTTTCCCGCAAATACCTTTACGTTTATTTTTTTAATGGATCACCTAAATATTTTGTTTTTTGGAATATACGGGTTAAATTACACAACAATGCTGCTAAATTTTCATTTTTCTAATAAAAATGTTATAAAGCCATGAACTGAAAAATAATGTTCTAAGTGGTGCTTGGTATACATCGTTTACCATTTGAAACGAAATAGGCGTAATATCTGATTCCATGTCTATTAAAATTGGTGGTCTGTTTCAACATCTGTTTTTTTTGTGTCATCGGCATCTACTACTAAGGTTATTAGCCTCGTGTTCTGCGTAGGCTTCGTTACTGTTTCCCAGCGCCACTTTAGGAACAGCACTGTTAATTAGAACCCAACAGTGAATGGTCGAGTGGCGAATCCTACCAAGGCATCAGAATATTAATAACGTAAGTTTTGATGACATATAATAATCTGTATTATTGTTATTCAAATAAGTAGATTTCAAAAACTTACAAAATTAAAGACTTTTTAAAACAACTGTAATGAACTAAAAATTCATTCCAATTTTTAATTAACTGGATCAATCCTTTTCTTAAAGTTTCCCGATTTTTAAATTATTATTCTCTGAAATTCCCGCGATTTGCAAATAATTATCGATTTTATTTCAAATTTCCTATTGCTGTAAATTCATCGCGTCCCCACTACCAATCTCGCGCACTTAAAATTGACGCGAGAGTTGGAGAACGTGGGCCAGTCGAAAATAGCGGAGACATTTAATTTTAATCTCTCCTAGCGACTAGTTGTTTTGAGACCCAGACAACACACCAAATCCCAGAGATATCCACAGAATGTCTTTTGTGGATATCCAATATATCCACAGCACATCAGAATTATCCCGTGGATCTAATATGGATATCCAAATGTCCGTCTATATCCAGAATATAGAAGATATCCTATGGATTATCCAGCAAGATATCTAATGGGTATCTCCAGACAATACAAGAAATCCCAGAGATATCCACAGAATATATTTTGTGGCTATCCAGTAGATCTAATATGGATATCCAAATGTCCGTCTATATCCCAGGATATAGAAGATATTCGGATATTCAGCAAAATATTTTATGAGTAGAGGTTCATAAGTAACCAATGATTATTGAATAACGTCGAAAGAATAGCAGAGATAAAAAATATTTTCAACACTCTGCCTTTGATTTTACCCATTAAGGAGAAAGTCATCCTTATTAGGACTCTTCAGCAATAAATGGAAATTCTCGACTCCAGTCTCTAATGGAGTCTGATTGGGATAGAAATTTCGATCGAACTCAATTACGGCGGGTTGAGCATGAGTAGATGCGAAAGTGGTATCGCCATCTATACTTAGTAAGCAAAATAAAAAATTACATCTAGTGGATATCCATCATGATTTGCGTTCGCGCCTAGACTTTGATATATTTAGTGGATGTCCATGGGATATTGAATACACCTTAAAAAAATTAATTTTAAATATCTGAACGGTACTATTAGCCATAATGGCGTAATTTTTTAATAATTTGCTATATAATTACTATTATTTATGGACATTTGCATGTCTATAAATTACGTCTCATGGACATAAAATAGATATATCCACCATGGACTGGAGATTCAGTGGATATTGGGATGTTCAGTAGATATCCAAAGGATTTGGTGTGCTGTCTGGGAGACCGAACGGCGATACCGCGTCAATTTCGTTAGAATTTCCAAATCTCTTTTGTTTTCCATTGTACACTATTCCGATAGGTAATTAGATTATTTCTGCAGATTCATTCAGCCGAGTGTCTCGAAAACCGTGTGAAACCAGCAGGAATCCATTATATTTACGAGTTGTTTATATTTTCTTTTTATTCAATTTTTTTATTTGCAACGTTATCAGAAAGCAAATCCGGATTTTGTCTGCCAATTTTACAATAACGTTGAGGGCCGTATAATTTAATTCATTTCAATTAAATATTAGCTCGGATTATTTTTATTTAATAAATAGAATTTGATTTGTTTTAAGAAATATTAAAACTGAATAAACCGTTAAACTAAAACTTGTAAATATTGGTTTAGAAAATAGTTATACCGGGATTGTACAAAATTTAGTTTCCGTTAATTTTATAAATATTAGTTTGAGAAATAGTTATACCGGTTGGGTGATTAACTTAGAAGCGGTTTAACTTCTCCGAATATTTTGTTTAAAATTAATTATACCGGGTTGCCAAAAAATTAATGAATCGTAGTTTTCAGTTTTAACTTTTGAATTCTTTCAAATGGAGTAGCATGAATTTCTTGAACATTCATTAGGTAACTAATCCTCTTACCTGTTAAGCCATGTTAGGGTTTCTAAGTATTTCTTTTGTACATTCCGTTATAAAATTCCCTGAATTAGAGTATCATCTGAGTTGTTATTGAAGACAGTGACTATTCCCGCAGTAGAATGGTCTAATTTGGTAACCAACGCAGATGATGTTCCGGATTTGCTATTGAACAGAAATGAAGTTTGCTACCTTCGCTGTCGTTTAGTACAAGTCTGTATTTCTCTCGTAAATTTCTTTAGCTCCGCGATTAACGTGCTTTTGGTTTATTTAATTCTGATTCCTGTCCCCACCGTTAGTTAGACTTTTAGTGAATTCCCGACCAGTTGACTGGACTCTGAATTGTAAGTCGATGTATAGTGACTATCCCGTGTGGTAGAATGGGCTGATTCGGCTTCGCTCCCAGAGTATGGTTTATACGAGGTTACATAGCCTCGAGCACCATCCTCAGGGGTTGCGTCGCCAGGATATTCATCTTGTGGTCCGTTAGGATGTAGCTAGATTTGCAATTTCTTTATAGGTTTGTACCAACACGCGCGAAAACCGTAATATTACCGTACAAATCGTGCGCTCAATCCAAAAATTGTATACAGCGCATGATTTGTACTGTAATATTATGGTTTTCGCGCGTGTTGGAATATACCCAATATTTCCCGCTTTAGGAATAAACGAATAGTCAAAAGCTCTAAGACGCTTAGAGGAGAAACTCATGAGATTCCGAAAGTTCGCCTTGCCGAAGACCGTACACCATAGATTACTAATGTGAATAGATGGGAAACTCAATGGTAAAATTCTGAGTCGATGTGCTGCCATCTATCAAATTGGAGTGGTACTAAAATTCAATATGGCCGCCACAAGCGGGCTTTTTGAAATTTAACTTTGTAGTAGCGCTAAAATGTAATGAAGAAAATCAAATAAAGCAAAAAAATTGGAAAAATATTTGACTAGTTTCAAATCATAAAACAACCATATTGACTGTTTTGTGATGTGAAACTAGTCAAATATTTTGCCAATTTATATCTTTATTTGATTTTACATCATTATATTTTTACATTTTTTCAAACTTGAAAAAAAATGCAATTCATTTTATTTTTTTTTATTACAGTAAATTAACGCCGCATCATATAATTTGTCTATTTAAACATGGAAATACTCTAAAAAAATATGCATTTAAATAATTAAATATTTATAAAACAAACCTATCAAAAATGTTTTCTGTAACAAAATCAGCATATATAAGTGCTCAAGACCTTTGTAAAAGTTTTGCGACTTGGAGTGGCAAATAAGTTTGAAAAAACTGAAGTTAAAGCATCATCCTTTTTTACTATCGAGGCAAATTTGAGTGTGGATAAAATTTGCCATACGGTTATTGAGTCGACTAGTTAGGTTGAGGAGCATTTCTTCATCCGATAATTGTTTTCTTGATTCATTTATACAGCACTTGTAGTTATCAAATTTTTATTCATCATGTGGGTACTGTGATAAATGAATTTAACTTTTGAGCATAAATTAAATTTACACACGTTTGGACCCTTGAAGATGTTAGGTTGTTTTCTTGTTTGATGTCAATGGCATTGAATCAGTTTCTGATATTGATGGCTGAGGCTCAAATATTTCATCGATCGACAGGGTATTTTGGAGGGCCAACATTTTCTTTACAACAATGATCATTTAAAAACTGAAAACAAAAAGAAATTTAAATAACAAACCAATTATTTTAACACTGAATCAAAAACAAGTTTGTAAATATTACTTACCGTTGGTGCCAAACAGTGATGGAGAATTTTGCTTAAGACATTTATTACAAATTATTTGGTTATCCTTAATATGACGACTGCATATTTAATGTGGTATAAATTACATCACTACCAATATCTGTGAGTGCTTTATTGTTTGCTGCTGAAATCCATCTTTTGAAAACATGCTTAAAATTGGAAGGTGTTGAAAAATAAATCTAGATTCTAGATGAATCAAAATTCAATACACCTTCAAATGCAATAGCAATATCCATTTTAATTTCTCTAACTTTGAAGTTTTGACGAGCTGACAACTGACATGACATTTCCATACGAGCGCCATCCCGTTAATTGGAGTTGTACTAAATTACCTTCCTCATGTTTTTCCATTTGAGTTACTAGCCCCTGCCGTACACTTGTTGCAACGCCGCGTAGTACTTCCGGTTTGACCGCCGTTTTTCCGATACCGTTTTATTTATAAACGCTCTCTTTTGGCCGATTGAGTTATTTTATTTTGCCAATTAATTTCTGTTACGAATTT